ATACCAGCAGCTATTACGTTACCCGGTAGGAGGGTGTTTTGTCACAATGTGAAAACAATAAAGTAATACTTCAGTTGCTACTAGAAAATGACTTTTAAGAATAAACAATTAATTTACTGGCCTGATGGTGTGTAGGAAGTCCGATGTGAAAGAATACAAGGGGCAAGAGAGATGATGATAAGAGAGATAGGAAGTAGTTACTGATGTGCGGTAATGATAACCGTGATAATTTACGAGACGTGCACCAGACACAGTTGGTTCACGAGGGAGGTGGTCTCTACTTCTGGCTAACTGCTAATGGGGCTTTGGTCACTTCAGCTGTGAATGAGTTGCAAATGAGGTCAACTCTTAGTGATAAAAAATGAGAGCGTATAGTGGCATTGGATCATAACCACACAATCCTCAAAGCTGAACACGTGACTACTCGGAAAATAGATATTTAATATTTAACGCGGAGAGATACCTAAAGATGGAAATGGCGGGAACAAGGAATTGAATTAATTGGGGTTGATCGTATGGGATGGCTCGGCCATGCAAACGTGGTATAGGATCCAAACTACGGTTTGGATGTTGAAGTATAGCCTACCGGGGACTTTAGACACGCGCCCTTTCCCGTCGAAATCAGAACAAGTAATCGGGTAACTAGCGGTTCTGTAATTCATAATAAATTTAATGTAAATCATTACCTAAACAAATATTATCACCCGGCTATTCAACCAATGATTGTTCAATCAATTAAATCTAAATTACAATAAATAAAGAAGTTGATAGAAGATGAGGAAAAATTACCAATCACAACAAATGAACGTTATTCTATCCTGACTGGATAGATCACACACAACAGTAGGAACAAATCAATATGGCTACCGCCAAGAACAAGTGTCAAGTAAAACAACGCAGATGCAGTTCAGGAAGAAACACAAACTTAGTGAATGCGTAATAAAAACAAAAACTATAACGAAAATACAAATATTAACAATTCAAATGTAATCAAAATACAACAATGTACAACTAATGTGATCAATAGGAATAAAGTACAAGTATATACATTGAGGGATTTTCACCAACACATAAAACCTTCAAAATGGATCTTACACGTGGTCCCTGCTGAATGTTACCTTATATCTTTTATTCATATTAAATATACTGTTTTACCTCTAGCCTAAGTTTGTTCTTTATCATGTATTGGTGATTGTTACAATGTAGTGATTGGGTGTAAACGATGATGTGACTTCCACGTAAGATCCTATGGGTAAAGTAATTATATCATGACAAATCTACAATTATAGGATTAGGTCTACTATTAGAGCAGTACTAATATCGTAGTAGACCATAATTCTACAAGCGTACCTGGGCTTCCACTCTTTCAAGAAGAATCATCTGAGTGTTGGCGATTTTGTGGTCATATGCTCGTGTTAGGGTGGTTTGGCGTACTTATTGTGTTGTATTCCATTATCGGAACATTTCTTATTCTCCTGTAAATTCCAGGTGTTGGAGTCTATTCTTGTACAACTGATGTTTTAGCTATATCGCACACTCGGTTTCCCGTCTGTATTTAATTGTTGTTGCTCATCTTAGAGGGGAGAGGAGGAACAATATTTTGGGCTTCTAGATGGGGCCATACACACATTTTAAATAGTGATAGAAACAAATCAGGGGTGACTGGACCAAGTTGTCTTTGAGTATATAAGTCATGCCTTAGTACCGTTTCGTAACAAGCGGGGTCGATTGCGTATCCCTGAAACGACATAGACCTCACTAGACTCCATGAACGAAAAGGATTACGACCCATTCGTGTATCTTATCTCCGCAGTCTTGATTATGTTCTTTCGATCATTCTACTAATAGATATTTATCGACAACACGATGCATCTGATTATAACGCATAGGACAAGATACACTGTCTTTGCACTTTGTGATTAATGTCAATTATGAGGCAGGAATGAATATCATCAGTCAAATCGGTTATCATTTTACGGTTTGATTATTCCCTTCCCACATAAACCTTTCGGCATGTAAATGTCAAGCCAATCGTCACTGACTCTATTTACTTTACTGCGAGTTGTTAGAACCTATTCATACTCAACTGTACTTTGTCCATATATTCCGTCAGCATCAAAAATAAATTTCTGTCATACTCTGTCCTACTTATTTTCATGATTTATTTTACTGTCATACCCGTAAACGACAAATGAGTTATTACTGTTTTTGCGGCATTTCTAGTTGCTCATACAAATGTGTTACTTTATCGCCCATACCGTCTCGATATAAATGCATGTTTTATAGTACGCTTATTAATATGCCTACGGTCACATGCCAACATTTCCCTTTATGGTATTCATATACTTTGTTCACACCAGTATTATACTTTCGTATTATACACTCACCCTTCACGTGGCACTCTACTCTATCAGACAGTACGAATTTTATGCTAATTATTGTCAACGTTAGCCCCACACCTCTTTAGTGTTATTTTCGAAAGCAGACGACCTTTAAAGTAATGTGCTGTTTCTAACGGGGGAATTTGTGCTGTCTAGTACCATGTCCAGCCCATATGAGTTATTCTAGTATCCGAACAGGCTGATTTATTCATTCTTTTCGAGCCACATTTTGACCTTGTTGATTATTCGTTCATTAGAATTGACTATTGTTACATGTGTATGTGCGAATCACCTATCCTGCTCATCGCATGTTTGCAGCTTATTTTTACCTGACTTTATATGGTTAAACACGTTTAATCTAATTGAGTTGGCTCACTCGCTTTCTCTGCTTCGATTCGCTTTCCGGCTTCTTATTGTGAATGTCCGATTGGATAAACGAGTGTTTGAAATAAATTCTGCCAACGCAATCCGTAATTGGCTTCTTATATCCGGCGTCACACAGACGGGGTGAACATGAGTAATGTACATGGTTAAACAGGAGATAAATTGATTGTAACTGATGAATGTTTACTTTCCATATTTATCTAGATCACTAGGGTTATTTAGGAGTCAAAATGTGCTTAAGTTTCAAGAAATGCTTATAAACATTCCCTATGGGATGTTATGAAATGAGTCCTTGAAGTTCGAAATTTCTGGTGTGCCTCGGAATAATTATATTGTTTTCTCAAATGAATGTCTTCAAAGGCTCCTGGCTCTTCAAATATTACCTGTCTGACAGTTATCGGACATTATCCTATCGTTACAGGGCTTGATCTGCTTCTCAGGTCAAGCTCATGATAAGTACCTTGAACTTAGAGCAGTACTTCAGTTAAATCTGAGTATTGCAAATTTAGAATGATTCAAGTCGCTTTGATAAAATAATTTTCGTCTATAAAGTGTGGACATCATCAAGCCCTATTGAAGTCACCTTAAATTTCGATAAACTATAGGACTTTTCCATAGGTAGATATAGTGCCAAAGCAACTCTTATAAACACAAATACCTCCATCTAGGTGTTTGAGCAACGATCAAGCTCATTTTCACTCGGCTGGGATGAATAAATTTATAAGGTAGTCATGGTCTGGTAAAGATCGTCAACTATAAGGTTAGGTATACAGAAAGAGGGTATTTTAGGTTTTTTAAAACTAGTGAATGCTTTGACAACGTTCATCTCCGTCTGATAAGAATGTATACTCAAACAGACTGCTTTAACTCTTAACGTGCGTGAGTCACTGATCTGAGACAGTATCTACTAATGACATACTTGATCAACATTTTGCGAAACTCCTTTCCGAAAGGTGGGTTGGAAGCCTCTGTTGGACCTCAACGACTACAACAGAACTATGGATGTCTAGCGGACATTCGGAAGACCATCTCATCGAAGAGTTTGGTTATGGAGTACAATTAACCTCCAGTCGTTTATCATGTTAGAGCGATTTCATCAAACCTGTTTCCCAGATTAAGCTGTAAGACCAGAAAAAGCCGCGATTATGTAGTTAAAACATTTATCACACAACTGTGGGGAGCAAGTGTAGCCGGTTGGCCTGAGGTAAACACAAAAATTTTTCATCAATCAGAGAAGTGAAACATGGTGTATGCATAAATTACAAAGGAGAATGGCTCCCAATTCACTTACAAGTACTTTTATCGTAATTTTAGGTTGTCGGCTGTTGCTTCTGTTTAATCTCTTAACATCGGTAACTATATCATTACTTCGAGCTGCGAATACACCACTGGGAAGAATCAAGCTTCTACTCGTTATGCTGAGACTTTGTAATAGAACGGAAGTTTATGTGAAGCTCGCGGTAGTCAGATATATTTGTGCCACGACTCTTCAACTTCCAGGGGAATTTAAAGAATCTTTTTTTCTTTTTAAATTAGATTTTAGAATTCAGTAAAACTTAGATCACGGAAAAAGTGCATCTTACATTTTTTAATAAGGTGTTGCAAAGCGAAAGGAAGAGGGTAAAGAATCAGTTATTTTGATTTAGCTGATCGAAATGAGATTTTTAATTGAATTTTCGATTAACATTTTCCGCATTCGTTCAAATGTATGCGGTGCATTCCTCTTGGAGGCAATGTATACAACAAATGAGGTGCAGGTTTCAACGATGTGCCCATAAATTATGACCTATGAACGTATGATGGAATGCAGGTTCAAGCCTGGGGATGTCGTGAAAGCCAATTATACATTCAAGAAAGACAAAAATGAGGATTTACCATTTAGTAAAAATGAAACACTAGAGATCATTAATATTGGCAAAGTGAGCTTAAATTTTTAAAGTACAAAGTGTCGGTCTGTTTACCAAGGATCCGAATTGGGCCCATGCGAAGAATGCTTTTGGGGAGACTGGACTGATTCCTTTAAATTACGTCCAGCGGAAGGTGGATGTTTTAGAAAATCTCAAAGATCACTGGTAACTAAATTACCTGTGTTTTAAACCAAACTAACCAATGATTATATTTCTAGTAAATAAGAGTAGTAATGTGGTATATCGTTGACATTTTTGTGCTTCTTGAAGTCGTGAAAACGTACTTTTTAAGTGCTAAATTTCATATGTATGTTGTCGTTGTAACATGGTGGTATTCTCCTCATTTTGTCGGTACATGGTGTTAGATACGCCCATATTAAGTGGGATGTCTATCGTCATCAAAGTATGGTGCATTTTTGTCACAAGTGTTTAGGGTAATGCTCATTTCTAAATGCTGTCAGAATGGTAGTAATTGTATAATTTTCTTGCACAGGTACCGTAAATTAGGACCTAAGCTACCAGAAACTCGCACTCATCTTGGGGTTAAGCTCTCGGTTTTCCGATTTCATTACCAGGTATCGTCCGAAGTTGGTGTGATTATTTTTGGTCCTTGTTCGGACTGGATAGGTAGATCAATTCCCATCCATTCATACATGATTTTCTATACTAATGCACCAAACTTCAATCAGAGCAGTTCTACAAGAATACGCAAATAGCGGCATTCCGTCGCTATCCTTCTTAAAGCTATTAGATTTGATACAGATCAGATATTGCGCGTTTGGTTAGTTCCTCGCTACTCATTCCGTAATTGAACACAGGAGAGAAAGAGAGCTTGCCATTCACACCAACTGTAAGTTACCTTGCTACTCATATAGTACTTTATAAGAGTCTAAATATTCTAATTATCACAGTTTACTCCAGGCATAGGACTCTTCGAAGGTAGTGGAAGTGTGGTAGCAGTTGTGCTATCAAGAGACGAAATCAGTGGTATCCCACATCAGACAGATATTGACCCTGACAACAGGTCTAGGTTCCAATTAGATGATTCGGATTCGATCGTTTGCAATTAAATCTTGCTCGGTTCTTAGAAGCATTCTTATTCCGTTTTATGATTCCACTATCGCGTTGTGTTTTAACCGGCAACAACTGTTTATTCTTTCATAAACGTTGCAGGAAAAACCTCTTTCTTGACGTTTACTTCCTATTAAATCCGTTGATGCGCAAAAATGAGGATTAGATGTAATCGCGTTTTATGGTCCGAAATGAATACTGACATTAGAAAGGTGGACACGCGCTTGCATACATTATCAACAGATAAAGTTTCACTGGTACATAGTATTCTCATAAGGTCAGTTTCACTTGTCTAATAGACGGTTTCAGCGTGTGAAAATTGATGTATCTGGATCTCTCACCGTCGAAAACCTTGACATCTTTTTACAGCCGTTAGACGTTTCATCAGATTAACAATCTCATATGTCTGCAGAAACTGTCACATCATTTTTTCTAGATAGCTAGTTTTCTAATTTCGATATTTCTTCCATGATATCCACTAATTGAGTATCGCAGCTTATCACTCAAGTTTTGTCACGGTCGAATAACTGATTAACGTAAAGTCAAGAGGCACAACGAGTTCTGATCTTAAGATGGTTTTTCCCTTCAAAACCATTAAAGTATTGGTTTGTTTGTAGATGTTCAGTATATTCTTTGACTAGTTTCAATTACTAATCGCAGCTCATTGTTAAAGATAAATATTCTTGTGCAACGTTCGACGAAAAACCGTAAAAATCAAAGTTCTCTCATCACTAGGATTTGTAATCGCCTTGATGTCTGATTTGAAGACGTGTCAATAGGAAAAGGAGCAATGTGCCTTCTATTTGATTCAGGGATAGGATGTATTTAGCATTAATAATTCTTGAATATGTCTATATAAAGATTTCATGATTCTTTTACTTGAGTGAGTTCTTGGATAGTGTTACGAATTACTTTCAACCCTACTCAAACATATATAACTCTTAGTCAGTTAGTTAGTTATAAAGAACGTAAGGATTCGGTGCAAATTAGCCACTGTCTAAATTGCCACACTACATCACAGCAAGATAAAATTCCCAAAATTAGTGAATTATTGGTAGGCGTAGTAGTAACAGTCAAGCCAAAAAGACTATGAAACATATAATTTGAGAAAAAAGGGTAAATTCACTGGATACAAATAGTTTTGAAACTCCATATCATGAGAAAATAAAAGGTAGATGCATCTTCTCCACTTCTACTAATTTTGAGATATGTCATCTAAAGTAAGATCGTACAGCAATCTATCGCTTACTGGAACCGCGTCGGTTGGTATGTGTACATTAGCTTTCTTCAACTTTAATTTTTAACCTACTTTGATATAAATTTCCTGATAGTGGCAAATTAAACTCTTCCTGAATCCTCAGGTATTAGTGCTCTTCTGCTTGGCAATTATCTGATCGACCTAAATGAGATGAATAATAGTATTGTTCCTATTTAACATAGCAGAAGTCTTAGATTCGTCCAGTAGTACTGTAGTAGCTATGAATGAAGTAGCGCATGAAGGGTGGAAAAAACTGTGGACATGTGAATATATTATATTGAAATGTAAGGATAAAATGCATAATTATTTACGATAAACTTTTTCTTTCATACAAACCTCAAACTAAAGTATGTAGGTAGTAATTATGTTTGATAAAGCTCACTTATAATCGTGTCTTCTGATACACAGAAAAATTCCAAATGTATTAGGTCTCTTTCATACCTAACACACTTTAGATCTAAGTGAGGACTCGAGTGATTTTTAACCATGGATCAACTATGTCAGGTAATGACATATGCTACTCGTTCCGTGTCATGACCTACGTCGCCGTTTGGTGAACCCGACATATATTTAAGACGACATTAGTCCCATCATCTTAAATCTTGTACTAAACTATACGTTCTCCGGATAGGATTATGGTTCGGCAGTTAAACTACTAACCGAAGGCCCTGAATGATATAATTTCAAATAAGGTACGTTGGTACTTAGTCTGACTTAATGTCTGTTGGTTAGGCATTTTAAGTATAATCCTTTGTAAATTATGCTAAACACCGATTTCTTCTTTGTTTAGTTGGTATCATGGACGGATTTCTCGTGCCGAATCAGAGAGTTTACTTTCTGGTAGTCCTATCGGAAGTTTTCTAATACGTGAATCCGATTTGTACAGTGGTGGTTTAACATTATGTGTTGTTGGACCTTCATGTGAAGTCGGAAGCCCAGATGCTGCTGAACAGCAAAATCCTACAGCGACACCTCCAAATACTACGACTAATGTACAGCACTATCGCATAGTCCGTAGGCCTTTTAAAGCTACCCCTCCTAACCAACATTCTGAATATTCAACACCTGCAATTTGCAGCAAAATCCACTACACATTAGACGAAACTGATTGGTTTCCAAGCCTTTTAGAACTGGTTCAGGTGAGTTATTTTGGGTCATAGTTTTGTGTAGCCTAGTGGTTGTGTTACACAATGTGCATGGAACATTACTTCAGCTATGATTTTTTTACGATGGTCATTAGTGTTAAGTGAGTCAGTCTCATAAAATAAGTTTTTTTAGTATATAAATAGTAATTACTTCCGTTAATGTGGGCGTACAGATTTGTGGTATCAGATGAATGTTTTAATGTTTATATTTCCTTAAGAAATATGGTTTTTGATTCAGATCATGAGCCGATTGATATTAGACCACCACCTTTGGAAACCTGGAAGCACTGGACGACCGTTTCGTCCTATTGTGGGACTCCTCAGCAGTGCGCATCCACGATCCCGCTCGCGGGATTCGAACCCAGGGCCTTCGGTCTCGCGCGCGAACACTTAACCAACTGGACCACTGAGCCGGCATCCAATGGTGATAGTGTCTAACATCAACCAATCCACGAAATTGCGCGACAAACTTCCATTGTACTGAGGTAGATACCTGTCTCTACCCGACATGGATTAGCTCCACTGATCACGGCTTCTCACTAGAACTCCGAGAATTCCCTCACGAAGCTAGTCACTAGTGAGCACATGTTGATTACTAGTATGGGGGTTGTGGAGATTATTACGTTTTTGATTGAGATCATGCGCACTGCTGAGGAGTCCCACAATAGGACGAAACGGCCGTCCAGTGCTTCCAGGTTTCCAAAGGTGGTGGTCTAACATCAATCGGTTCATGGTCTCAATCAAAAACGTAATAATCTCCACAACCCCCATACTAGAAATATGGTTTTATTCGTTTTACAATCGCATATTTCTCATATCTCTTGTTCATGTGATATATTACAGACTGAATCTAGCACATGATATACGTAATTATTTGAAATGTCAGATGTTATATTCTTGCGAAATCTTAAACATTTTGCTTCAAAGTGGAAGCGGTCTGTTTGTTTATTGAAATGACAAATATAACAAACTGATTTGAAGACCGAAATCATCCGTCAGAATATTATATGTATATACTTGAAATCATTCAGAAAAAAGTATTTCAGGCTTGTAAACAGTCTGTTTTCCAAATTTCCTGAAATCTAAAGGATTATTCATTGATCATTACTTACGTCCTGATATTCTTTGAACCTTAAGAATAATATGTAAAACCTTATGATAAAGCAAAAGTTGTCTTTTCGAGTATGATGTAGTAACACGGAAATCTACGGCTGTAAGGTTTAAAAATTATGAGTGCAGCATAATTAAAACCATTAAATAAAGGCGATCCGTGATTGGTCGCATACGATTTCTCCTCAGTTTGCGTGGTCACGTTACCTAGATGACTAGACTGTTATAGCTAATCACTTTCTTCTTTTTCGTATCTTTTACACAATGTGGATAAGTGGGAAGTGTCAAATGTGTTATACTTGCGTAACCTCCGCCTATCCTCATTAGCAGTGGTATCTGACGTAGGAGTAGGTTGGGAAAAAGGTTAGGAACAGGGAGCTGAAGAGGTATCGTCAATCTACGAAGTCATTGATTGCTAGTTTCAACCACATTGGTATATGTCATTCGGTTGCAACGTAGAACTTAGAGACGGGTGGAATAAAGTTAAGGGTGGTCAAACCAAAACGTGTCATCGGTCCATAAAGTCATTGACTTCTGGTGTAAGCCATGTTGGTAGATGCAGACTACTTGGTTGGGGTCCGCGTGACTGTAGTAACCAATGGTTGGAGATTCTAGGTGACGTGGCTCAAAGTCGGCACAATGGCGTAGGTGTGTACACACTTTGTCTTTGTTTAACCGTGAGATTAAAATTACTTTATACCTTTCTACAGGCTAATTCTTCCTCCCTATATCATATCCTTATGTGAAATGCTTTTTTTACTACCATTGAAGTAACTGCTTCTATGAATTTCGTGTTGATCTTGTTGTACTAATGAAGTATGACGACTTGGACTGATGCATATATGTACCTGGTTGTATGTTGTAGCTGACCTTTCATTTGAAAAGTCTACTCGTTATCAGCTGAATATAAAAATATATCAATAGAGACTGATCAGTTATAGATCTTGTCGTCAACAATAGGAGAATACAAATAAAATTCATCAATTAATTTCAATCTGAGTCCTTAAGCCGTTGCATCACAATTTCATACAATCTGTGTTCAACTGTTCGTTTTATCTTTTGTCCCATTCCACCACCCAATCAGTTTTATTCGGAACCCAAACGCGGATTAGTTTGTGCACTTCTTCATCCAGTCCCAGATATGCAAAGAAAACGACTAAGTGAACTACAGAAACTTGGTTATCTCATTTTTCGCAAAGAAATTGCATTAAGTGATCGTATTGGGCGTGGAGAATTCGGTGGTAAGTATATTCTGTGTCTAAATCCATTAATCTAATCACACGTTTCAACTTGGCTGGGTAAGTTTTATGACTTGCCCATAAAGCGTATTATCGAATCGTTATCCGAGTTGAGTAGTAGTAGTAGTACATCATATCGTGTCCACCATTGTTGTGCTCAGTTGCGAAATACTACCTTGCAAGTGGTCTTTGTCATTGTTTGGAGTTTATTAATAATGGGTGAATTATTTGCCAGCCCTGTGTATTTATTTACATACATAAGTATTAGTACAAAAAAGGGATCAAAATAAACAACAAAGTGAATGAAGTTAGTAAATAGTAAGAGAAGCAGTTCAGTTGATGAAGATACAACTAGGAAGAATTTCTTCAGTTAAAGAAGCTGTTCCTACTTTTAGAAAGAAAGTAAAAGAAAATTGCAACGGGATCACCATCTTGGCTTCTATTTTGGGCCATGTCTAGTAACTTCTAAAGCCTCCGAGTTGCACTATCACTAGGACCTCAACCAGGGAATCATAGAGGACAGAAAAATACCAGTCATATATAGCTTTCCTTCATACCCCGGCGGTATGTCATAAACTGGTCACCTATCCGCTTATTCACGATATGGAATTTCCCGAGACGACATTAGTTGTACATGTCCAGGTCACTGAAGTCGGTGTTTGAAGATGGTGACACTACTAGAATTATTATCAGTGTACCCGAACAAACGTTGCCAAACCTCTGTATTATTAATATGGTGTTGGCGTTAAATGTCACCGATCCTTTAGTGATGACAATAATCAAACGCAGAGATTTACCTAACATTCGCAACTCGGAAAGGCAAGATCTAATAAGCATAGGGTGACACTTCTCTCACTGACGAGTTATGGACCCGACATTTTAAAACCAGATTAACATCACGAAGGCGCCGACGATGACCCAGATTGGCATGTGGCTCAACCAATTCAATTATTCAAGATTGTTATCAATCCGGACCTATATATATCCTTCATCCGTTGGATAATCAGGCTTGGAATTAAGTTATCATTACAGCTGATATTTGCCAACCACTCGGGTACGATATCGAATCAGCAGCCGAGAAACTACTGGTTTAATCAGTGCCGATAGCGAACTGAATTTTCTTCTAATTTTACTTTTTATCCATCTGTGTTTGTATGTATACTGTTGAGGTGTGACATTTTAGGATTATTTTAAATAATCTGTTCACAAGTTTTATTTTCATTTCTTTCGTTACAATTGCAGAAGTTCTTAAAGCTACTTATCATGGTCGACAAGTAGCGGTGAAAATTTATAAAAAGACTGCTTCTAAATTGGCTATAACCTATGAAGCATCACTTATGACGTAAGTATATTCTTCCACGTAATTATAGTTATGGGTATTGTCCTCATTTAGTATTACTTACTGTGATTTGTTATCTTCATCCCCAGTGCTTTTGAATGGTCAATAATGTCTCAAATCTGATTCAAGGTTTTGTATGAGAGGTTTATGTCTACATGTGTTAAAAGTATATGGAGAATCTGTTCGCTGTTTCAACGTTAAACAAACGTTTTTCACCCATGAAAAGTTCTTCAAAATTGTCTAAAGTTTGATATCAGGGCAAGTTCCGTCAGATGTTATGTCTTGAGTTCCACTTCTGGACATGGGGTCGTGAATGCGCACTGATGAGGAGTCTCATACTCAGATGAAATGACCGTCCGGTGATTCTAGGTTTCCAATAGTGACAATTTCAGCACCCAAAGTCAATATAAAGAGACTTTTATGAGAACTAAGCAACAGTGAAAATGAACATCCTTCCAAAGAATGCAAAGAAACCCTCCTAACTAAAAAAGAATAAATAATTCTTGTTATACGGTTCATAAATGATCAGTGGGCAATATACAAGACTAAGAAGGCAGAAGTCCAGAACAGTTATTGCACTCCGGTGAATAGAACTTGTGTTCTATCTTTCATTCTGAAATGTACCCAATCGGTATTATAGTATATTATAAGCAGAGTGGCTGGGTTCGATTTTTGCGTGTGGTATCGTGAATTTGCACTGTTAAGGAATTCCATAATAGGACAAAACAGTCATCCAATGCTTCCAAGTTTTCAATGGTGATCTAACTTAGATCAGTTCATGATTTCAATGAAATTCTACTTTCTTTTCATTTCAATAGATTTATAGTTCTCATTTAAACATTAAAAAAACATGAAATTCAACGAAGTGATTTTATTCTAGCAAATTCCGTTAGGACGATAATTAAGATGCTTTAATCGTGATAATCACAGGTTGTAAGCAGCTGACGAGAACCAACGAAATAAAAATGAATTCATGCTATTCTGCTAGAATGTTTGTTCTTGCTCTTTTCATAATTAACAATATTAGAGAAATAAAATGTAACGATATAATACCAGAAACACTTATGGAAAAAAATCATAAGGATATGTGAAATAATAATGAAGAAATATTTCCAAATTAGGAAATCGATAAGACCGGCTAATGTTTAAATTGAAAGGTACTGAGTTCGAATCCTGTTGATGAGCGCTAAATAGGACAAAACGTTCATCTTAAATTCCATTGCTAGCTAAATGTGATCTATTCTATATAAACTTGTATTATAATGGCTATACCGAGGCAATCTACACATATTCCTACTAGGACTGATCTAAATTCAGTCAAATTATCAACAATGGGACAATCTAAATCATTACAAATTAAAATGATAATAATAATGGTTTAAGGTCTTTGTAAGGATATCGATAAGGCGTACTTCTGTTGTGCACACAGTTCAGGTTTCATTTCATGGATAGACAAGAGCTTCTTCTGGTTTAAGGAGCTGGATATGAAGAAATCTGGGATAAATCATATAAACAACCTTAAAATCAACCAATGGATCAGTGAAGTGATTAGAACTGATTCATTATTCAAGGATAGAATTACTAATAGGTTTTCTCTCACTTTTTCGTAAAACTTCATTGGAATATGTTCTCATAATTCAAGTTGAAGGCAAATACTTAGGATTTGTGTACCTTACTCTACAGGAGTTAATAAACTGGTTAATAGACAGATTCACATTTCATCATAAATTCGCTTGTGATTAATTTAAACATATTAAGTTATTTTAATGGTTGGTATCATGAGTCAATCGAAGCTAGACCACCATGAAAAATGTGAAAGCACTAGATGGCCGTTTCGTCCGATTGTGGGACTTAGCAGTGCGCATCTGCGATCCTGCCTCGCAAGATTCGAACCTGGGACCTGTCAGTCTCGCACGCGAACGCTTAACCTCTAGATCACTGATGAAATGGCCGTCCAATGCTTTCAGGTTTTCCATGGTGCTCTAGCTTTAATTGCCTCATGATCTTAACACTATTAAAATTACTATAATATCCAAAAAACCCCTACTAATATCAAGTTATTTTGTTGAATATTTAAGAAGGAAATCATTTCAACTTAGATATTCCTTTTTTTCTTTTCTTTTCTTCCCCTTCTGTTTTCTCTTCTATCAAAAATATCTTAAATAATGACAATATTGAATACAACATATGGAATAGAAAATTAAGTCATCCTAATTTAGTATCATTTATTGGTTTAGTATATGAACCAGATGATGCAGTATATTTAATTACAGAATATTTAGCTAATGGTAGTTTACTCACTTATTTACACTCTCGTACACGTGATGAAATTACAGAATTGACCAAGTTGAAATTTAGTATGTAAGTTATAATTATAATTATTATTGTTATTGTTTTAAAATCAAATCAAAATGTATTCCTTTGACTGAATCTATGAACATCATTGTTTTGTGTATGATCGGTGGTTCCAGTTGTGTGTGTGTGTGTGTGGAACGACCAGCTTAGTGTGTATGGCAGTCGAATTTCAGCCATTAAGTTGCACGTCCGAATCGTGATTTACTTACATCGGTTTGTGAAATCGGGATACTAATACTGACCGTCACATTGATGGTATAGTTCCAAACCATGTACCAACATCTCTGGACATGATAAATAGGAGTTGAGGATTTACTTGTTCGCTTTCTAGTTTTTTTTAACGGATTCCGTATATGCAAAGAAATGGTAACGACAACTGTAATACCATATTCAAACAGTTGTAGTCACTTCTAGGTCTCCTCTCCAACTATTCTGAAAAACTAATCTTTGTTGAGATGATTTATTGCACAAGATCAAAGAAGATTGGTTTTATATCCAATCTACTTATATTTTGCATCAATTCAATGATTGTTAATTACAGAGTTTTATTAACTGCAAAATCATCGCAACTGGAATACTGAACAAAATTAATCTTCAATTGATATACGAATTATGAGATGAATTTTCTCTCTTGTTCGTTATATTTGAAGATATATCATTTTCAATGTTTTTGATGAAGAATGCCAAAGTGGTTGAGAATTTTCAATTCACATGTTTAAAATAAAATAAATGAAAACGGAAATATGCTTCAGTGCTTTGGCTAGAACTGGGTTAGGTGCGGTCTCGATGATTTAGAAGCGTGGCCATCATGCCCGAACGACAAATACTCGATACTGATCAGACACAATATTCTTTGTCAGTAGTTTTAGATTAATTAACTTCGTACTTTTAAAGCCTTATCATAGGTAACAGAAATCCATGAGAGTTCCGATCTTTTCTGATCACCTCTCTCCGTTGTGGGAAAGCGTTATCACTGCAGGTGCTGGTTGTTTGAGTGAAACATGTTACTGTTGTCACATCGCCATTGCAATCGGGTGTACGACTTCATGCTCTGACCATGAGTTTGTTGTCTTAATCGTACTACTCTCCAACCATGTGACCCGGCATGATAGATCCCAAATGAACGAGTGATCCAACCAATCCAGTTCGGTTGAACCATTTCGATATTTGAGCCTAATCATCACTTCAAGGTAACAGCTGGAGTTGGGAGCCGTTAACTAGAGATGGAGTATGTTGATGCACATAATCAGTAATCTTTCATGAAAGTTTTTTATTCATTAGAATAACCCAGGAGACTTACAGTTACTCTCATTTCCACATAAATTAACACAAAAAATATTTATAATGTCAATTAAATTTTAACAGTTTTGTGGAATGATTACTCTGATAAGTAGTTAGGCGTCTTGTATGAATGTGTTAGACAATGAATAAGGTAATTATTGATCAGAAACGTATGGTGGTACTGTGGTGTGTGCTACTTACATTGACATAAGTAGTATATGGTGTCAGTCGTGAACAGAAGGTCTGGCAGCAGAGAGACAAGAGGATCGAACAGTAAAGAGTCGAAACAGGATGTAATTTGTATGAAAATGCAAGGACAATGAAGTCTGAGTCATTTTGAGACAATCGGTGAACATTTTGCAGATTGAGCATTTTATGATTGTTAGGTTTTATTAACAAGTCCTGTAATTTTATGTTAAGTACATTCGATTGTCCCCACCCGTGCTCTGTTCACTACAGTTCTAGTAACCATGGCAACATGGATTAGGGGACTGCTGCCGATGTTGTGCAAACTTACATTTGAGTTTATGAAATTTTACGTGGTCTAAAATCTAAAAAAAAAAATAAAAATTCCATGATTTGATGACTCCTCTCGTTTTTTTATTCAGTGATGTTTGTCGTGGGCTAGTTTATCTTGAAGAACGTGATTTTATTCATCGAGATATAGCGGCTAGAAATGTTCTACTATCTGGACAAATACCTAATTTAATTGCTAAAGTTGCCGATTTCGGTATGGCTAGAGATTTACATGATTTGTCAATTGTTCCTGGTGCTACATCAAATCAAGCGTCAAAATTGAATAATAATACACCAACGTTAGTTATTCTTAATTCTCCATCAAGTGATACCATTGAGAAATATCCTAAACCTGGTCATGAAACTCATCATCAATCCTTTGAGGCAGCTAATAATAATAATAATAATAATAGTAATAATAATAATAATAATAATTCATCTCATAACTCTTTAAATCCAATGGTATTACATGATAATGCAGCAATTCCTCTTAAATGGACAGCTCCAGAAGCTGTACGCGATCGGGTAAGAACATATTTCCACGTTAATTTTGTACTTCAGGTAGTTTTTTTCTGGTAAAGTTGACATTTATTATTCTGGCTGATTGGTGGTAGTCTGTCATGAGATATGAATTTTCACTTTTTCAGGATAGGCAATAAAATTTTGATTTATTGATAAACAGCTGTTTGAATTCAAGTGTTTAGTAGTAGTTGGAGCGAAATTCCGGATGATCTATGCTCCAGGCTAGTTGATACTGGTCAGTAAGGCGTATCTTTAATGCTAAGGAAACTGATGCTTCTGGAGGTATTCAGACTGACACAAAACGTCGGTCAAACAAGTTTTCTTTTTGGCTATCTCTAATCACCTTACAACTTCAACGCAATACAGTTAGTCGTGTGCAACACAGAATCCGACACTTGTATATCGGTTCAAATTGTCATATTACGTTAGCACAGTGAGATAAAATTATTTCAAGAAAAATCCCAGAGTACTAGACATAGTAACAGTGACAGTAGTAGTAAGAATAAATTAAAGAAAAAAGGTATAAATCGATTTCGGGACTTAGATTCTAATAGGAAGATAATGAGTGAATACACTAACAACATTGCAAACGAATCTAAACCATATCATCCAAAATCTCTAACTATTGGGTACGCTAATCACTTTCGATATCGAGTCACTTAGACTTATGGTCATACTAAAGCTTGATCGATAAAATCCACTACCCAATGATCATCCAATTGTGCTCAGCTTTCAGTCATACAATTACTATAAGGACTAACTTATTATTTATTTATTTGAGCACATAAATATTGGTACAATGGGGCACCAAATATATATGCGCCACACAAAACAATAAGAATGGGAAGAGAAAAAAAGAAGAGCAATAACGACCAGATTAGTGTAAGGTAGTGTAGTCATAATAATAATAATAATAATAATAATAATAATAATAATAATAATAATAATAATAATAATAATAATAATGGGGGAAACGGAAAGGTACAACCAGAAGAAATCTTTCCGTTAAGGAAGATGCAACCATTTTTTATGAAGAAAGTAAAAGAAGTTTACAGCAGGATCACCACTGGCTTCTATTCTGAGCCATATCTGATAAAGTCTCTAGCCATAGTGTTGCACCATCTCTCGGACCCCAACCAGGGAGTCGTGAAGGACCAACAGAAGCCAGTCCTTTGCAGCTTTCTTTCATACCCGAAACCATGTCATGCACTGACCACCTCTCCGCTTCTTCCAACCAGTCCCAGAGTCGGCAAATAATGCACGACGTGGAATTCTCTGGGACGACATTCGTAGAACATGTCCAAGCCACCGAAGTCGATGTTTCAAGATGGTGACACCAATTGGATTATCGTCTCTGCGCCCGAACACACGATGCCGAACCTCTGCATTACTAACATGGTGTTGCCACTGGATGTCAGCAATCCTTCGGAGACAACGATGATCAAACACAGAGAGTCGTCTAACATCCTCAACTCGGAGAGGTCAGATTTCACAAGCATAGAACAGAACTGCTCTCACCGACGCGTTGTAGATCTAACCTTTTACAGCCAGACTGACATCACGAAGGCGCCAAAGATGGCCCAGATTGGCATAAGCCGCTCTGGCTTTCATTATACGTGCATTGATGTCATCACTCACGCCACCACCATTACTTGTGTAGCTACCTAGACACACAAACTTCTCGACTACTTCTATCTGCTCACTATTCATGGTGAGTACAGGATTAGAATCCTGCCAGTCTTGTAGAAGTACTTGACACTTCGAAGGTGCAAAGCACATACCGTACCTACGGACACTGATGGCCAACGCATGTAAAACAAGTTTTGAAGCGACAGATGGAGAGCGAATTTTTATTACTTCACCAGAGTCTTGATTACGGGTCTCGGATAGATAACAAACGTCGATATTAAGACTTTCCAAAGACATAGCCAGCCCTATCTGTTGTCCGACCTGCATAAGTGTGCGAACGTTGAAGGTAGCCAGTTTGAATGGTGCACGTGGTTTCAGAAAAACTGCTTCAGTATTCGTATTTGGTGGTAGCATTCAGTTTTCAACCAGTCAGTGACTCGAGAACGTTTAGATAGAACCGAGTTTCCACCATAGGCGAGCTGCTGTATAAGTCGAAAAATGAGGATACACAGAGTGGGAATGAAAGAGAGTGAATAAGTGACGTGGTAAATAAGAATAATACTTTGAATTGCTTGACTTAATCGAAGCGTGAATAGAATTTTTGGTAAATATCGTCATTTTCATTTTGTTTGTGTGTGGGCTGTGATACTGACCGGGTACCCAGATCGAAGCAGGTGGTTCTCTTAGGGGGCCACTTCCCGAGCCTTTGACCTAAAGGTCTAACCCACAAGGCAGTAGAGCATCGTGAGGAGATGCAGTCCCATGGTAGCCGGTGACCAACGATTGGTTCATACGTCATTTGTTCCTTTAGGATACTGCAGCCCATGTGCACCATTGGTTTGGGATCCGGTTATAGCGCCGGACATTCGCTTTTCGTCCTCTCATTTTCGTAAACAACACCCCCGTCACGAGAAGTCAGTGAGTAGGACTTCCCTGTCAGAGGCTGTATATGCGTGGCCATGTGAGAGCATTTCGAGAGGGAGGGCGGGCCCACCCCACTCTCGGCCATACCATTTGGGAGCTAATAGTTGGAGCACAGTTCAAGCTTATTTAAAAATAAAAATTGGCATACTCTAGATTTGTTTAATGAAAGAATGCAGTGTTTCCTAAATGTGTGTGTGCGTGTAGCCTAAAAAACTGAATATCTTTACTGATAAAATTAAGTTGTCTAATTTCATTGGAGTCATCGACCAATCTAAACTGAACCATCATTAGAAACCTGGAAGCACTGGATAGCTATTTTATCCTAGAATGGATCTTCTTAGCAGTTTGCACCAATGATCCCTCACGTGGGCCTCAAACTCAGGACCTGGATCGGTTCACGAATTCAATGAAATTCAATAATTTCCACAAACTTATACTGATAATTAATCTAATTTTTATTGGTTTGTTTTTTCTTAACTTTGAAAAAAACATCAAGTTGTTTACAACAAAATCAGATGTTTGGAGTTTTGGCATATTATTATGGGAAATTTATTCTTATGGACGTATACCATATCCACGAATGGTAAGTTATTTAATTAACTGATTCACTTATGGGTTCTCCGATAACTATTCAATCATTGTCAAATCTATCACTTGAGTACTTACCTAACAGGGAACAATCGAATAATTGCGGCTTTATTGAAAATAATGCACCGTCTTTTCTCAAGGAGAACGCTATTCTGTTACCTTTGGTGTTTGTAAGCATAATATGTACTTTGAGTCGTTATCGAGGAAAGTGTTGTGTGCAAGATTGAAAGTTGGTAATATTTTTTTAGATGGGCTGAATACCAGCTTTGCTTATATGAATTCATTTTAAAACGATAAATTTATTGTCCACAGAAACGAAATGTAAGTTATGTGTACACGAGAAAATGATCTGAATCCAGAAAATTACTCCGAAGAGAGTGACAGTCTCGCCCATCAAAATACTGCCGATAACCGATTGAAACGTGATCGGTTTGAGTCTATGCTTGAGTTGTAAATGAGGGACATTAAACAGAACATTGGTGATGACTGTATCGTATGATGGTTATCTGGTGTACAAGGTTGGGGAATTTTACCTTCGTCATCTGTGACTATCAAATCTTTATTTGTCACCTGAGAAAATCTCTCATAGACGCTGAATTTGGCCATTCGTATTTCTAGTTAACACCACCATGTTTATTTTTTGCCGGAACAAAATAACAACAGGTTGTTTTCTTGGGTCCTGTGTGATAGAGCCATATTGTTGGGAAAGCAGTAGTATGACCTCTTTCTCTTTCTAGTTTGACTGTCGATTAGTTCATCTTTATTACCAACAGATTCTTTAACCTATTTACCAATTTACTGATTGACCAATGAACAGCAACTAAGATTTTAATGTTTATTGGTTCTCGAGCTCCTTTTAACACAATAATCAGTCAGAAGACGACAGTAAAAGACATATCAATTCTCTATTGTACCCAATGCAATCATGACTAAAACCCCATATAATAATAGAGAGTAAAATCCTGACCACATATCAGCATAATTAGGAAATTACAATAATGACATAACTGAATAGTAGGTCCGTAATACATTAACAATATGACATGTAACAACAGTTTAAGGAGAACGAAAAAGGTTACAAGCAGGAGAATATAGATCAATAATTTAAGTATTTAATGGTTCTACAACGAGAATATAAGCAAAATAACTTCAGATAAGAGACAGTCCGAACTTTTCTAACAATCGTCCCGTTATACTACTTAAGTATTACTATCATTTATGGTACGATTATTTCAAATCTTTTACTAACATCAGAATATTGTAGTATTGTAGTATTTTAACAGTTTAATTCATGAGTCGATCTAAGTTAGACCACCGTGGAAAACCTGAAAGCACGGGACGACCGTTTCGTCCTAGTATGGAACTCCCCATTAATGTGCATTCACGATCCAGCATGCATGATTCGAACCCGGAACCTTCGGTCTCACGCGTGAACACAACCTCGAAATCACTGAACCAGCATCGAACGGTGTTGATTTCTAAATTCAACCGTTGTGTTTTGTTAATATTGACTAATGCACAGTTGTTTCAGGCTTTATGTTGATTCTAATTAACTAACAACTAGATATCTCATATATTATGAAATGTTAATTGTAACTCACAAACTACAAAACGGATTCTTTTTACTGTATTGTAATGTTGTTCAGATTGTAACGCTTACTCTACACTTTTGTAGTTTAATTTAAATAACTTGTTTCTCGTAATGATTAATCTATTGACAAATAAAAACGTATTTCAGAGAATTTATAACTATTTATGTTGTATGGGATTGTTTTTTTTGCTAGATGGCTAATCAAGTATTACGTCATATTGAGTCTGGGTATAGGATGAAATCTCCGGAAGATTGTCCATCTACAGTATATGCTTTAATGTTACGTACATGGCAAAGTGAACCAAGTAACAGACCAAGTTTTGTGGAAATTTTGAAGGAACTCTTGAAATTGTATAATACAACATCTAATATGTGTAATTCTACACTTATTCCCCCTATTCTTCCATCGAAACTCACTCATCCAGTGTCCATTAGTGATTCTACTGTGAACAATTCTGTTTTAGATATGAATAAAACATTTAGTGACTCTGATAGTACAACCCCTTGGGGTACCACTGGAAATAAGACAACAACTGTGACAAATAGTTACAACTCAATGACGTATAAAGGACCTGATAATCGTGAAAATCTACTATTGATGAAAAAACAATCGATTAATTCAACATCTAATCGGCGTAAGTATAATCAACGACCTAAAACGTTAGCTGACTTGGTAAGTTGTACTACAGGTTTATGACTGCCAGATTTTGTATGGAGTTTTTCTTTAAATATTCAGTTGTTTTAATTCATCGACTGTATACTGTTTAGGTATGAACATAAACTATTTCCTAAATACCATTCATCATGTGTAACCTACGAGCTGATCTAAGTATTATGGCGAGGTTTCTGATTACGTCAGAGGGTAATCTATCATAGCAACTTTTGATTCCTGTCAAGCAACTGCACGACCGTAGCTGCAACATTGACATGGTGGTCTGGTGATGACTCATCTGAGCTATATTGACTGAAACACATGTTCGTTTATGTCCTAGTATGCTAGACAGGTTGACTGGAGAACATCAAAACTAAAAACAGCAACTTAAGGTCCAGGGGCGAAGTTGTACACCCGACTGCAATATGGATATGACACTAATAAGATGTTTCAGTATCTGAAGCGATGTTTCCTTTCAACAACCAAAGCGACGGGTTAGGAAAGGTCTACCTTAAAAATGTGATACCACACCCTATCCCACTGATTTCCCTCTCCTGAGGTCTTTCGAATTGTGGAGGTAACACCTAGATTTTCTCATAAAAAAGCCTACTATAAGCAGTTGTCCTGCAGTCACATCCTCGGGTCACTAAAACCACCACTAACCCAGCTTCCTCAAGAAAAAATTTCCTTGCGCGATGTATGTACCTGGAGAGTGACGATCCTCTTCATACCATGTAACAGTATCCAAGATCAAATTTCTGTCAATCAATTGATGATACTTACGAGTATGTACTCTAGTTGATTTTCATGAACATTATACTAGAATAAGGAAATTGATTCCATCTTAACTTAATGAACAAAGATAATCTACCTTACTACCTCTCCCACTATGGGATTTGAATCGACAATTATATCTGTGTGCTAATTTAGTATGGCGATCCGAACTGATGTACGTACGTACAAAGTTCTACGTTGTCACTGACTGACTAACTAACCTTACTTTATTAAGATTAGAGTACCTTCATCAGATGATTATTTCAAAAGATTTGATCACCTTTTCTGTTTTCGCGCCAAGGGACGCTTAGTTGACCTACAGCTTGCATTTCCCACTCGGAAATCTTTAACTGTCACTAGTTAACGGATTTTTTTAGTACGCTATTTTGTAGCTCTCCCCAAGGGCGTTTCTATCATTGTATAAATAAGCTTGATTTGTGTGCTTAGTGACCTCGTATTTTCTGGGTGTTTTTAGACTTCTTGATCTAGTTAGCAAGACCAGGGACAACGGATTACAATAACCTATCGTGTCACTGTATCTTTGACCTTCGTTCTATTTACCGAGTAAGATGAAATCGTCATAGCATCCAAGCATATCAGTCAGTCAGTAACAACGTAGAACTTCTTACGTACGTACATCAGTTCGAGTTGCCATACCACATTAGCACAGAGATGGAGTTGTCGACTCAAATTCCGTAATAATAGAGGTAGTAAGAGTACAATCAGTAATCGGAAACATTAGGGTTTGAAGATGTTATTCAAGGAGTATAATCCAGTGAAATAAATTTGGAAAGCGAAAAAAAGGAATGCGAAGAATTCAGAAGATTAGAATTTGGGAGAACAAAAAGAGTGAATGCACTTGCGCCATTGCAAACGATTTTGAGCCATGCCATTCAGGGTCTCTAACCATCGGTTGCTATCATCTCGCGGTCCCCAACCAGGTAGTCTATACCTACCAATATGGCTCACTCAGTCCATTTGTCAGTGACTTCATGCACTTGTGCCATGTTTGGGTCTGGCCGCCCCTAACTTTCTTCCAACCTACTCCTACACCATAAAACATCGCACGTTGAGGCAGTCGGTGGTTGGGCATACGTAACACGTGTCCTAGCCGCCATCTCAACTGATGAAGTTTCACCACTTCATCAATTGATTTGCCATCCTTACCTAATACTCGTTTCCTAACAACTGCGTTACTTACTCAACTTTCAACATTAACTATATAATTTATGTTTTCAAATTTCTCTTGTTTTTCCTATTACATTTTCTAGATATCTGAACCATTAGATAATAAAACTTATGAACATACATATCATCATAATCAATTACTTCATAGAACAACTAATTCAACAATGAGTCGTTCATTTACATCAACTATAACAACTAAATTATCATCAGATGAATCTAAAATGAATTGTAATTTACCATTGGATAATTTAAAATTATAAATTATCTTCTTTATTTCTTTTTATTTCGTTGTATCCATGTTGTGTATTTGTTCAGTTTGAGCGCCTTGTTTGTACATTTGCTTATTGGTTTCAATTACATAATTTCTTATTTATTTAGAGAAAATCTCTTTTGTCTGTGTTTTGATGTTTTAGTTACGTAATTAGTTATTGTCTTTATTATCCTATTGTTTATTAGTCTATTAATACTTAGATCAGATCACTGTATTATATATAAATATCGACACTGTCAACAGAGGGGTTATCTTGGTTTTGTTGTTAAACTGTTAACAGTCATTTTTTTCTTCAAATCTTGATGTTTGCTTTCCTGTCTTTTCTTTATTGTTTTCTAATAGCATGCTATAGGCGTTTGAAATTCTGCTAATCAACACACGGTGTATATATATACTTATATGCATAGTGATATCAATGGTATATCCTCTTGAGGGATGTTTTTATGATTTGGTTACTATGAGACAAATGAGAAGAAATTTGTTGAGTGACAATGTGGAGTTTAACTTATGAAGAGTATTGGATTTGAAAAACCACTTCGTGTATGGTTGGCAATTGTTCCGGTTTAATGCGCTTGCAAATTAACCTGTTATATATTTCTGATTCTTTAAAGTTAAAGATTTATATTTATTCCTGAGAGTTGTTCAGTGAATCAGACTCAAACACTTATTGCAAGGAAAATCGTGTGTGTGAGGGCCCGATTATAACTGCCATATCGTAATGATTCAATCGAGCCACATTGGTTGGATTACTCGTTTTTTTCGGTCCTACCATGCTGGGTCAATTTATTAGAGTGGTAAGACTAAGAGCAACAAGGTCGCAGTCAGAAGACAAATAAAAAAGCGGACTACAATGGAGATGTGGCAGTAGTGGTGCTTCACTTAAACGACCAGGATCTCTGTCATACAACGGAAGGCAGAAGTCGACCCTAAAATGTAACGCGTCTCACCTTACTCCACGGGTGTTCGTCGCCGGCGGTGAGATCTCAAACATACGTCTCTTTTGAGTTAACTAATCGAACATGCTTGCGCGTAACCGGTTTCAAGTAACGTTTGTATAATATAATAATGAGAAGTTCGTTAGGATTAGTAACTATAACCCTACAATGATGTTGACTAAAGGAGCTCACGAGTATCGTGTTGAATATTATCAAAAAGTGATCTAATTTTTCGTGATGAGATGAAAGATATGGATCTTACAAACGATATGCATCAATGTGAAATTTAGTACGACCCTTCTTATTCACAGTAACATAACGTATTTATTACCTCGTGATGGTTTTTGCTTCGAGGATAATGTGTACAATGTTTTTCTTACATTTTTCCAGTTAAATCGGAGTAGAACGGACTAATTATAGTTTGAAGATGCTAGAGATTTTACAAACAATAAAATGTCAATGGAAAGTTTAGTTTCATTTATTCTTTTGTCGAGTGTTTAGTACAAGTCACCAAGGTAACAGCATGGAATTTTCTTATTTCAGAAAAGACGTTGATCCAAATCATTGTATTCACTATCGAATGTGTGCAGTCGAACATAGCCTTCTTCTCCACCAGTTGCGAATCTGTCAAATTTAAACAAAATAAAAAGATAAATGAAACGAATAAACATCGTGACAACTAACACAGAACATGAGAAGCATGTGAAAAACAAAAGCTATACTATGTGTTAATACACCAAGTTATGGTTAAGCTAATAGGTTTGGATAAAGACAATGGGAAGAGGTGTCGGTGTGTTCAAGAACCTGGATTTTGTATGACACATTAGAAATAACTACTACTGCGACAAATAACAAATCAGACTAAGGATATTATATTAATCCAGTCTGTTACTATGTTGTATTAGATTTTGTAGGCGTTCAAAAAATCCATTTTAACAATAAAACCAGTTATTCTTTAGAGGATATTTAAAAATATACATATTATAAACGTACCCACTGCCATCTGGTGTGAATGCTACACTATTAACAGGACCGAAATGTCCTTTAACACGACCAAATTCTTCTTCATAAATTAAATGATAGAATCTGACATCGAATTTTCCTTGGCCAACAGCTGTTGTTGTTACTTCATGAGCTTCTTGACCACCTCCTAATAAGACCTAATTTTAATGAGAAAAATAAAATTATAGAATACTATATACAAGGTGTTAACACAACAGATAAAAAGGGTTACGTGACATCTATCAGGCTTTAATACTGATATATCTCACTGAAACTCACTGTACACTGGTGCAAAAGATGGTGGAGAAGACTTGTAGCTCAAGTGGATGGTTTTGTCATGGAGCTTTCATCGTTCTTCTGAACGACATCATCAGCACGAAATTCAGGTAGAAGTGAAGTGTTCGGATTTCTCCACATGTGGTTCACAGCTTGTCCTGTACACCTCAATGTTGACTGGCTCTTGTTGACCTTAAACATGTCATTGTTAAGGTCAACAAGAGCCAGTCAACATTGAGGTGTACAGGACAAGCTGTGAACCACATGTGGAGAAATCCGAACACTTCACTTCTACCTGAATTTCGTGCTGATGATGTCGTTCAGAAGAACGATGAAAGCTCCACGACCAAAACATCCAGCTCCGAGAAAAAAACTATCAAAAACTGGTGCAACAGATATTCCAAAACCTAACTTACTTTTCCTAGTATACAAAGATTTTTATTAGTTTACTAACAATTGTATGAGTGGTAATTAAATAGTTAAACTGGGCAATTCGTAAGGATGAACTAAATTCGTAAAATTATTATTATTCCTTTAACAATTAAGCAAATATATTGAGCATGAATTTTGTCATGTGGTTGCTGGATGACAGATATTAATCGTTAAGTAATCCAGATAATATGGTTCATTATAATTCAGTCAGTCAGTCAGTTAAACACAACATAGAATCAGTTCAAGTTCACGTACCTCATTAATACAACAAGGTGAAATTGTCAGGGTAAATCTCAGAATAGTCGAGTTAGTAACAGGATTAATATCAATAGAAAACATTAGGCATCTGAGACACAGTTCGTTACCGGAAAGAACTGCTGCACAGTAAACTCGTCCTTTATTTGATGTAAGTTGGAGGAAACCAACCAGGCTTTCTAAATATTCATGCCGAGTTTTCATCAGATAATTTCAAGATGACATGATCCAGTAGACTTAAAAGCAATGTTCCCTCTTATAATTAGTGAAAGTGGAACAGTTTGGTAATCTGTTCTTTTTATCAACTCCTTAGGTAAGTTAAACGAATGCAGTCTGGAATTTCTAGCATTTGATTAGCAGGTTCAAAAGATGATCATACCTACTTTAGTTTGACCAATAACGTCAGCATTTAAGTAACAGTGATTTTTAAATTGTCGTGGTAGATTAATTCTAGTCAGGAATAAATTGTCGGCGAAGTTCTTATAAAAAACTTTAGTCGATTGCTACCCACACAAACAACTGCTAACTACAATTTAGCTAGGAACAGTGCTTTCGTTTTATTGAAACAGAATGCTCTTTTATTAGACATACTATGTACTTCAAACAGTCGTAGAGTAAAGAACGTCTACACGATTGAAAGTCTGCAATATTTAGCTTGGCGTGCCGTCAGAAATAGTGGAGAAGCTTGTGTGTGTTAGTGTTGCTTTGGTAGAGAAGATGAACCAATGCAAATTAGTATATTGATAATCTTGACAACTCGAGTCATCCTAGTGTTAATCTGAGCACAAACTATTCAGTTGTATATGCAGTTGTTCTATATCCATTATTTCAAACACTCCAGAGTTGATGGTCATGCTTAGTGTGATAACAACAGGTTAGTATTTCTGCATTCCGACAATATGCGTTTGAATATAATAGAGACCGTTATTCAAATGGTGATGTTCATTTTGAAACACTAGCTTTGATGAATTAGATTTGATAGCTGTATGATAATGCTACCAGCAACGGAAAAATAGTTATGGCTCAAAGAAACAAAGAATGTTTCCATCAGGTGAACATATATCGGTTTATTAGAACTTTGTGGATAGGATTGTAGACATTTTACTACTTCAGTATTCGAAGAAATCGCTGATTATGACCTATAAACCAGACACGACCTTGTGCAGTTTTTGAATGGAATTAACAGTTAATGATTGACGAAACTGAGGTAATAGTATGAAAAAGTTTCGAGACACAACTTAAATCATATATATAGTAGTTTCTGAATATTAGAATAACTCACGTGATCTCTATTAGGTGAAATAGCAGCAGAATTTATCGGACGTTCGGTAGTATATGTTCGGATGCATTCCAAATCATAAGCACTGAAAAGCTGAATACAAACACGAAATGAATATGACTATAGATTTTTAAAGGAAAATATGTGATTGTATAGGTCAAAGTTCTTTTGTAAAACTCAGCTTTACTTCACCTGAGCCTCCATCAATGGGAGCAAAAGGAGAAACATGATAAGAGATGGCGGAGAAGACTTGTAGCTCAGGTGGATGATTTGATGAAGTTTTGTTCTCTGAGCTGGATGGTTTGGTCGTGGAGCTTTCATCGTTCTCCTGAACGACATCATCAGCACAAACTTCAGATAGAAGTCTGGTAGATGCATAGGTCCCTATCCTTCTAATGTCTTACTGTACGGAAATCACATAAACGACAGCAGAAAGGAATCCGGTTAGGAAGCGCCTATCTTTCTTTTAAAATGAATGTCACACCTATACAAACAAGATCACGAGAAGTTGCTATCACATATTTAGATACACGAAGAATATATAACATTGGTTGTTCATTCTGGCTAGGTGACGTCAAGGAAATATCCACGCTAGAATCCTGCATGAACATATCGATGGGATGAGATTCTAGGGTCTTAGTTAGAAACACCTATTGCCAGATTTAACATAGGGTTTGGACATTTAAAACTGACACGTAGTTTGAATCGCCGTTTTAAGAAACTCATTGAGCTCAAATCGTTAACACTTATAGTAGATATACAAGTAGAAAAAGATGAGGGTTGATATAATAAATGAGAGAAATGCTAGGCAATAAAGATGGAGCTTAGCTGTAAGCAAAGTGATTTTCAGTGGTGTTAGACGTTTGAGGGTGGTCACCGACACTGTGGAAGGATACTTCATCTTGAGCTAACTAGGAAAGAAACTAGATTGAAGATGGTTTTAATGACTAGTGCTTAAGCGACAACTACTTGAGGGCGGTTACTTACGGTCTTTTAGTCTAGTAGTTTGTCATACATTAGTTTTGTACTTCTCAGAAATGACCAATCCGTGGAGTGAGGTGTGTTGTTAGGGTAGACCTTTACTAGCCCCTACTCTTCTTTGTGGGAAGGCAGCACCGCTGCAGATGTTGGTTGTCTGAGTGAAACACTTCACTGCTATCACATTTTTAGCTCAGCCGGCAGTACGACTTCACTCTCGGACCATGTATTAGTTACCTTTAATTCAACCGCTCTACAACCAACCTTCCTGGCATGGTAGGATCTAAAAGAACGAATGCCCCAGCTAATATAGGTTGATTAAGTCATTACGATATGCGAGCTTGATCACTATGTCGAGGTAACAGCTAAGATGGGGGATTTACTGAGATTAAATACTATCGACGCTAAGCAAAACATTTCCTCATGTTTATTGGGAAAAAGTAGGTATTGATGCATTAGAAAATTTACTTACTTTGGCATTATGATCTTTCGATCCAGTTATGAACATTGGCAGAGTTAGGTGCATCTGCATATCTGTAACAGGTCCTTTATGAGGATTGATACGCTTTGAACATTCCCCGGAACTAACATCAATCATTGTTATAGCTCCGGACTCATGTCCGCAAATAATGTTTCGGTTGACTGGGCCCCATATTGCTCCAGTCACTTTAGAATCATCCGGAGATGTTATCTTAAATATACAGGATTTTTGTGACATCTATTAGCAAAAAAACGAAAATAATGGATCACAGTAAAAAAATTGATGGTAGCTATTCCAGTCATTTTTAAGGATCTTTGTTGAGTCTATTTCACTATCATTAATAACATCACTATTTCGACCCCTCTGTTATTCAATTTATTAATTTTTATTTCGCTGTGACATTTGTAATGCATATATACACTATAATTAATGTTGACTATTAACTGAATGACTTTCCACTGTATATATTTTGGCTTCATTCACTTAAAAGCTGCTT